TGACCTATTTTAAAACACATTCAGTGTTTTTTTTGGGGGGAGAGAAAAATGTAATGTGGGAAAACATAAGTACCACATACACCAAATGAGATTTAAACTGGGTTCTCTCTACTTTGTGCCAGACTTGTTTTCGCTATTTTAACTCACTCAGCAGCCATGTTCGCTTGATTTTTTTTTGTAATAAAGTGAGCTGTAGTTTCTTAATTTTCACTGTATTTGTGAGGAATATGACAGAATTTCACGATCTATATTTGTCGCACAAAACAAACTCCGTGGCTTGAGTCAGCAAGCGAACTATACCGACAGAGCGACCGCAGCTTGTCGACGAAGTTAGTGCCAACTTTAATGGATAGAGAGTTGTGGGATGTCATATGAAGAGACAACCACTAGTTTAACGGTCCTATAGTATTTATTACAGTTGCACAGTATACACGGACGAACTCGCGTTTGAAGAATTGAAGAATAATAATAACAATAATAAACACACTGAACCAGAATTGTAGAACTGTAGAATCTAGAACTGTAACTGTAGCTTCTACTCAATGTATCTTCTTATGTAAAATAGAGTCGGACATACAGAAAACACATCACTGTCCGTACTGTTGTAGGCTTTGCCTAGCAACCGCTGTTTACTCGTCGTTGCTATGCAATGAAGCTTCCGTTGTCACACTTACTTGAATGTGGTCAGTTCCCACAGAGTGTTTAAGCCTGTACCTAAGACTTCGTGACAACGAATTGGAAGTGATGTGGAAGAAATGGTACATGGTCTAATTTAAGATTTATCCTGGACAATTGTATATAGTGACTGAGGGAAACGGCGATAAACCCCTACAGCCTCCGGGCCGAGATGTTTACCAAAGACTTCTAGAATACGATACATAATTGTTACCTCTCTACTATGACGTTCTTTATATTCGAATAAATAAGCGTGGATAATATTAAATTGAATCTAAAAAGAACTGGATACAAAGGTGTGGACTGGCTCAGGACAGGGAGAAGTGATGGGCTTTTGTGAATGCAGTTGTGAGCCTTCTAACTCCATAAAAGGCGGACAATGTCGTTGAGACACTGTTAGCTTCTCAAGGAAGACTGTGCTGTATGGAGTTTGTTACTTTCCGGACATTTACGTAATTATTGACAATTTTTTTATTGTCTGCATCCTGTTGTGTGTTACGTTGTGGTGCAGACGCTAAAATAAAACCAGTGATGTTACAGTGATATTGGATTGGTTTCGTATGAAAAATTTGTTGTGCTGACGACCACAAAAAAAAAACATATATTTACAAATTGTATCAAATGCTCTGGAACGGATACAAGCAGCAAGCGATTCTCCTGTTCCGTTTCCTATTTTCTTAAAAAGGATTTAAGTACATCTTTTAGGCGGAAGTACTTATAAGATATGTGCGTCACTGAATGTAAAGAGGATTCCTAAATTTCTGATGTTTTTATAGGTACCTGGTGACCCTAACTGATCGGTTTATAGGCAAACAGAATTAAAACAAACCCTATTATAATGGCCTGTGTTCACACGTCCGTCAGCCTTGCCCTACAATGCAAATGATTTCAATTTAAATATGACTATCGATTCCTCAGTATCTCTCCCCTACCCTGTTGTCCTGGCATGCTCATGTTAACAACACGCTCCAAAGTAATTCGCTGCAATTAAATTCCAGACGAAATTCCAGCAAATCCTCTTCGGAACAGGAGAATATTCCGTGCGGGTGACTAACGGAACCCAGATTCCTGCTGACTGCTTTATAAAATCCGTCCTTCCCTGCAGAGTGGACTGGGAAGTTCACGTGACTTCGCTGACTATCGTCATGCTGAAGCCGGTTGACTTTCAGTGTCAGCCTCTGTAGTCTAGCGGTCAGAGTTCCTGGCTACAAATCCAGAGGTTCCGGGTTCGATTCACGGGGCTACCAGATTTTCTGAGAATTAGTCAGTCTGGAATGCGGTTCACTCAGCCTTGTGAGGATACCTCAGGAGCTATTTCAAGGAAATAGCGGCTCCGGTCTAGAAAAGCGAGATTAATGGCCGTGGGGATTCGTTGCGCTGATCACGTGACATCTTGTATCCGCTAAAGTTTGCACTAATTTCGCCGACAATGGCGGTCGCTCAGTCGGTATAGTTCGCTTGCGGACTACATGCAACAGTGTTTTTTCTCCGCCTGCACAGTGAACTGTAAGGTTCACCTGACTTTGTTGAATAGCGACAAACTGAAACTGGTTGTCTTTCAGTGGATCTAGTCTAGTCGGCTGCCCTGAAGAACTTGTCCAGTCACGGGTCGTGTTCCTGTGTCACTGCACCGGGGTCCGGTTCGTGCAGAAACTTCACCTCCTTTCCTTATTTAAATTTGGCTTTACAACTTTGTGTCCTACGTTGCCACATAATTTTTTGGATCTCTGTGAAACGAGCTCTTGTTAAGATTTAATGGGACGCAGCCGTGGAACTATTCCAGCAGATGACTTGAGAAAGTGAGTAAAACCACGGCCCGTTTCCTAGCCGAATAAGGAACTACGTAATACGTAGAAGTTCTAAGTGCTTGAAGGCGATATGATGGTTCCCTTTGAAGTCACTGATGTTAAAAGTAATTAATCCTTTATAGGGTAATGACAGCTGTATAAAGCACTTTCATTGACCTTGCGTCACATGAAACCACCAATGGAATGCACTCGTCTGTGTGGGATTCGTTTGGTTCTCGCGCTAGAGAGATACGTCACTAAACAACACGAATCTGCTGATAGTTTGTAATGGAGATACAGCGTGTTGTGAGGGATGTAAGGATAGTCAATTTTAATGATTTCCGTCCTATATACTGTTTATATGAAGTCTGCTTTATGTCTGATCATTACGATTTCTACAAATATTTTGTTTTTGGACATTATCCATCGTCCTGTCTTTATCTAAAACTGCCGTCATTTTTTTTTCGAAACACAATGTTTCGGAGACTGGATTCTGTCTCCGTCTTCAAGTGAAATCTACTCAGTTGGGCCCCATCCATAGAGCTAGACCCTATCTACTGGGGACGTGTCTTGTGTTTTGAAAAATAAAGAGGACGGTATTTTAGATAAATACAGGACGATCGTTAATGTCCGTAAACACAATATTTGTACTAATGTTCCATCGTCACAAACTTTTAGATCTTTATTACGATTCCTCCTCGGCTAATATTTAAAAAAAAATTAATTTGTCTGCCGGTTTCCTCTATAACTCCTGTTTTAGCCTAATATGTTAGTTTTGAAAAAAAATGAGTGTATGCCCATGTGACCTCCATGCTAGCTATGTGTCTGTGAACTATCCCTTTTGAACGCCTAAAACAGTGTATACGAAGAGTTGAATTTACATTACGACACTTGAGCCTATCTCAGCAGTGTATGTCATAAAGCTCTTCCATCAGTCCGTGTGTCTGTTTGTGTTCCTTCCTATCGCTGCTAGGCAACAGCTCGGTAAACACGTTGCCTCAGTAGTGAATGCAATAAAAAATATGAGTTTAAAGAACACAAAAGAAAAACATAATCAGTGGCCTGTAGTCCGCAAGAGAACTATACCGACCGAGCGACCGTCACTTGTCTGCGAAGTTAGTGCCAACTTTAGCGGATAGAGGGTGTCGCATGGTCAGCGCAACGAATCCCCACGGCCGTTAACCTCGATTTTCTAGACCGAAGCCGCTATTTCCTTGAAATAGCTCCTCAATTATAATCCCGAGGCTGAGTGGACCCCGTTTCAGACCCACTACTTCTCAGAAAATCTGGTAGTGCCAGGAATTGAACCCGGAACCTCTGGAGCTGTAGCCAGGAACTCTGACCACTAGGTCACAGAGGCGATCATGGATTTAAAGGTTCTGTTAAAAAAGTAAACACAACTTAAAATTCACAAAACGTCCCTTTTCTCATTAGCAAGCTTTTGTCAATTGAGAACTGTACATTTAAGCCTTATTTCAACCACAGTATTGAGTGAGGTAGTAACGAAACCATAAACTAAAAGCAAATAATAATTTGTAAGAAGGTTTTCGTAAAATATTTCAAGAAAATAGTAAGTCCCGTCCCTGGAGACTGAGCTATTCCTCGGAACAATTCAAGAAGTTCTGGAAAACAAGTCTGGAAGGCGGGTGCCATATTGAATGCGGCACGTGTTGGAGGCGGTACTGACACACGTAGCGTTAGTCTCATCACGTGACAGTATAGCATTTTGCCGTATGAAAGCAGGGCACGTCCCAAGCCCCCATGTTATAATGCTGATGCCACCTATTAGAGAATTTCAAGCAGTTCTATCTACTAATTGGCCCATCTGCTGCATATGTGTGCTAAAGGCTCTTTATTTTGCCATTAGCTAATTGCTGGTACGTGTTTAGCCTTCGAAAATAAGCAATATCTCCCCTTAGCGTGTTTCAGCACAGTCGATGCATAGATTAGCAGGCGTGCGAAGATCAAATCAAGAATGGAGAGATGGTCCGGACATGTAGCACGCACACGAAATGTGAAAAATACACAAAGAATTTTGATATTAAAATGCGGGGCGAATGGGGGAGAAGAGGAATGCATAGAGGAAAGGGGAAAGCCACAAGGAAAGAGGCCACTGGGAAGATAAAGGCGTAGGTGTTTGGACAGTATTAAAATGGATCTTAGATAGAATGGGATGGTATGTATAGGATTGATCTGGCTCAGGATAGGAACCAGTGGAGGGCTCTTGTGAACACCGTAATGAACCTTCGGATTCCATAAAATGCTGGGAAGTTCTTGAGTGGCTGCACAATTGGCGGCTTCTCAAGAAGGGCTCAGCGCCATGAGAGAGTGACTCAGCCCTTAAAGCCAGTGGCTGTATACATACCATCTGCTTCAACATCAGATTAGGAACTGGAGCGGAAATCCCGGTTCGGGATATCCGACGATCCGCCCGACATGCAGCCCAGAACACAGAACAACATGGCGTCACAATTTTATGAGATTTGACTTTAGTTTGCTAGTCGCATTTTGAAGCCGCCGTTTCTTTGTGTGTTCCAGGAGAATTCTGGGCTTGTGGTCCCTTGGATCATCGGCTTCATCACGTTCATGGCCCTAGAAGCAGTCGCCATGGTGTACTCCAACGTCCTCAGGGACCACGTCAACCGGGTAGGTGCTCTGGCAACGTCCGCACTTCAGTTCTCAGTCCAACTTCTGCATTGCACCCATGCCTTGTGACCTCTCTCGGGGTTACAAATACCGTATAAGACAGAATATAAAGCGACATCCTGTTTTTCCAATGATAAAAATCATGAATAATTAATTTTTGACAAAATTGAGTATGTCATTTATTTTTGAGTGTTGTAAGCATTAGGATATAAGATTTTTAACCACCGCCCAGTGTTATAGAACAACACAGAGTAGCCTGTATAACTGGACCATGATACCAAAAGCTTTGACCATCAGACAACGAAACCAAGCTGTGGAGTATATTCATCTTCTGTTAAGGAGAAGAAGTGTAACGACTCGAATCAAATTGATTCTAGATTAAAATAAATAGGGTACATTACTTTGTAAACAGACTTATTGTAATAATTTTAGATGTTTTAACAAATCAATGTACATCTTAGCTTTAGTTAAAAAAGAAAGTAAGGGTATCCTTGTAACAGACCGTGGAGGCCCATAGGGTTGTGAGATGTTGAGGTTCCCACATTTTCTAGAATATCGGCTCATAGAAGGCGGTAATTTTGTCAGCCTTACCCGCCGGCCGCCCTTTTCATCCAAGAATATTCCTGGTACTCATTTCTGTTAGAGGCTGGGTCGACCCTAGGGCCATAGTGCGGCTGGAAGGATTAGGTCAATTGAAAAAAATCCAATGACCTCATCAGGACTTGAACCCACGACCTTCCGGCTTGTAAGCATAGTGCCTCAACCAATTACACTAGTTAAAAGATATAATATTTGTATCTATGACATGGTAATAATAGTTTCCATGCGGGTTGATATTATTCTTCTAAAGATGGTTGTTTTGACACAAAAACAAACAAAGGATGAAAAAAAAACAAAAAAAAACAACGCTTATCAATCACACTGGACGTTGATTAAAAATCTTATATACAATCCCTAGTGTGGCGGACTAGGAAGAACCAAGTTAAGCATAAAAAGTGAAGACTATACTATTAAATATATATATATTCAATCCGGAGTATCATTCTTGGTATTTTCATAAATATCATTACATTTAGCAATTTGAATTACTCATCATCTGCTTCATATACTGTATACGTATTCTTAAGGATCCAACAGTATTGCGGCCCCTCTCTTTATGAAGCAGTACTTGAAAAATAAAAAGTCAGCCTAGTACGGCAACTGAGTCTGTTATGGTAGCAGAACCCGAAAGTAGGCGCGTTAAACCAAAGTCCACCAGTAAACAAGTCAGCCAGTTACATCCAACCACATCACAACACCGCAGCGTGTCTCTCTAAGGTCCTTCTTATATTACTAAATTTAGACCTTTGTGATGTTAACTATTGATGTTAATTCAGCGCTTTGGCGGATGTGAGCAGTTAGCGATGTTTCGGAGATAGGTTCTGCCTCCATCTTTACATTCTAAGTATGTACATTTGGTGTGTTTTGTGATTACATAGGTTGTGGTTCAGAAAACCCAGAGAGGGAAAGTCCCTTTTTGCCCTTTTAAGGGCCGTTTATTTATTTTTTTCCTTGGCATTACATCCCCAGTGGGCCTAGGCCTACCTCCGTGAACTTCTCCGTTCACTTCGGTTTTTCTAGATCTTACACATTCGGTAGGACTTCTTGGGCGGGTGATCAGCTCGTCGCAAGGCCTCTACCTGTACACAAACACAGGAAAACTCACACGGGCCGTTTATTTACTCTCATAAATTTACCTGTTCATTGTTCACATCAGAACGAACGGGGCACTAGCCCCCACCTTCACGCGTGGTTTTCTCGAAGAAGAAATCTGAATAATCACAGAAGTTTATATTTCAGTGCAGTGTAACAACAATTTAGCCGTATCATTATCTACATCAGACGATGGCTCTGCGTGACCGAAACATGTCGAATTTACACGAAAACAGGGAGCCGTGATTAGACAAGTGACTTGTGTTGTCCCATTGATATTTGTATTTTGTCCGTATATACATACTTCAAGAGATTAAACTGGTCCGGCAGGATGCTTAAATAGAGCATTTTGAACAATAGCCAAGTTGTAGTTTGCGGAATTAATGTACAGATCGGTTTTTGATCCATAGTCAATTGAAAGATTGGAGATTAGAGGCAATCTTCTTTGTACAAATCTGGAAACAAGAGCTTATTTCACGGGAATGAAATACCTTATTGTTGCACGTCTGCCTTGGGCTGATGGCATGGAAACTGGCACCAAAGCCTCTCAGTCTATTGTTTGCGACTTCTGTGTTAGTATCAGTAGAGTTCGAACCCAATCGCATAATAGAGAAATTACTTATATTCTTGTTTTCCGTCTGTAATGCTTCAATATAAATTTAACAACATGAATTCATATGTATTTAAAAAAAGTTCGTTAAATGTTTAAAATATCATTAAAATTATTAAAATATATGTAAATTTTGTGTTTGTGCTACATGTTTCAGCCGCATAGGGCCATCTTCAGGCAACTATCTTTTAAAGGAGCCTGCTGCGCTGTGCGCTGGGTCAAATTGTATTCATTAAGGCACCTCGTCGTTGTTATGATTATTATTTTCGTGAATCCTGATATTGTAGGATGATTTTAGTGTGTGACTTTCCTCCTATCTTACATATTGCGGCTATTTTCGTGTCCATCCATTTCCTTGTTAATGTCATGGTAGCCACTTAAATGCTAAGAAGAGGGTTCTCGTTTACGTAGTATGTGCTCGGTCCCGGATAGAGAGTCTCTCGGGTAACAGGGCCAGGAATGTTAATCTCCCATGGCTTTTCTAGAATATAATCCCTACTAATATTTTATGAAACTTTAGGGCGAGAGCAGGTACAGCTACACCGTTCTTAAACTCTGCACTTGATGAAGACGAATTGTCAGGTTCACGTCCCTGCCGCTTTTCCTCTGGAGAAAAAGTCTCCTTGTTTTCATTATATATGAGACTGGATGGGTCCCAGGGCCGATCTGGACGTGCTGGAGAAGAGAAATTATCTTTCCCTTACCGGGAATCTAATCCAATCTTGTCGGTCGTCCAGCCTGTGACCTAATCTTCATGTCATGGTAACTAATTAAGCCTAGGGATACATTTTCTTATTAATAATACTAAATTAAAAGTGAAAATTCTAAAGCTCTTGCGGTGTAACTTTCTCTAAATATTTCTTTGCTTCACATTCCTTAAGATGAAATAATTTCCTTAGGGCTTTCTTATCAGGCACCCTCAATCTATATTCATTCCTTAGGGTGGCAAGACCAAGGCACGCTCGTACGTACTGTATATTAGTGCTCATCTGGTTAGTTGGTTGTGTAGTTAGGTAGTTAGTTACGTCATATAGTACGCATGAAAGTATAATTAGAATGATCAGGTCAAGGAGGATGAGGTGGGCAGGACATGTAGCACGAATGGGGGAGACGAGGAATGCATGTAGGATATTGGTGGGAAAGCCAGAAGGAAAGAGACCACTGGGAAGACCAAGGAGTAGGTGGGTCGACAATATTAAAATAGATCTTAGAGTGATAGGATGGAATGGTATAAATTTGATTGATCTGGCGCAGGATAGGGACCAGTGGAGGGCTCTTTTGAACACGGTAATGAAACTTCGGGTTCCATAAAATGCTGGGAAATTCTTGAGTAGCTACAGATTTGGCTTCTCCTCAAGAAGGGCTCAGCTCCGTGAGTAAGTAAGTACGTATGAGAGAGATGTGAAATTCACATGAAATTGTTGTCGGCAAACTTGAAATCCTCGCCAGATGGAAGACGCAGGCATAGAGGGATGATATTAAAATGAATCTTTAGTGAGAGAGCACGTGGGCTGTACTAGCCTGTCTCAACGAATGGTCCCAGTGCGTCCTTTTGTGAACATAAAAGTAAACCTTCGAGGTCCTTGAAAAGTGGGGAATTTTTTGTTCATCTGATCTACTGGTAGCTTCTCCAGAACAGCTTTGCTCGATATAGTCAGTTGTTTATCTTCCGCCCTGTTGCATCAGGACACACGAGACACGCGTCTTCCTCGAAATGGACTAGCTCAGTGCTAGCCGCTTTCTCGTCACAGCCACCGGTAATCCTGTCTTGCACTAACTCCCTCCTGCCGCAGACTCTTTCTATAATGAACTGAATAAACCGGATACTTGAGACTTGGTGGTAAACATGGAGCCTTCCTGAGAAGCCTTGCTCCACCCAGCGAACAATTTATAAGCCAGGAAGTTTGCACTGACTACCTGCATCTTCTGCACTCTACTTAATAAGACGTGGCAATGATTAAGGGGGTTCCCCTCAGGGATTTATACTCAGAGATGATTTCGCTGGTTCGAAGTAGAACGCTCTTATAGGTAATAAAACTGATCCCAGTTCTCTGTTTCAACACAGTTCAAATCAGCTAAAAGATATTTATTGGGCTGTGGCAGAAGTCGGGTGTTTAGTCGCCGCGTTCTCACAGCGTGCGCCCATGTCACCTTCCAGAGTACTGCACTGGGATTTGTTGCGGACGAAAAGTAAGTGGGGGAAGGTGTTCCTTCTCCTCCCCCTGTCAGTTATGTATCCCTCCATTCCTTCATAGTCACCCACCAGCCGAGTCTGTTAACGCTGTCTGGGGCACTTCATGACTTGCGTCACTTATTGGGATGGCCAGAGAACGGGATGTGAGTGAAAAGGGTGGCCAACAAAAGTTGCCTATCCATACTTACAGAGGAACATGTTCGACTTAGAACGTGGCCAAAACTACAAGTTTATTTCCATTCCATTTAAACTGCGAAACGGTGAGTAGCAACTAAGCGGACCGACATATTTATCTATGCGGTAAGCGCGTGATAAACAAGAGACTGAGTTTAAAATAATATTTCTATACCGCTATATACGCCGTGACCGCCTCTGTGGTCTAGTGAGCAGAGTTCCTGGCTACAGGTCCAGAGGTCCCGGTTTCGATTCCCGGCGCTACCAGATTTTCTGAGAAGTGGGGCTAGAACGGCGTTCTCTCAGCCTCGTGAGGATAACTGAGGAGCT